CATATTTCCTTCTCTTCTCCAAATTATGCTGAATCCATCGGAATGCTGCTTCAAACACAGCTTCTTCTGATTCGACATAGAGACCATCCATGCATAGTAATTCCACCACGTCGTCAACGGGAAGTTGTAAAAATTCATCAGAACGGCTTACTGACATAAAGTGCTTCTGTATAAAACGATCCGCTGCAGCTACTACTGTCCTGAAGTAAGATGCTTAAAAAAATCGCAAAAAAGCAAACTCAACAGACCTACAACCTAATACTGCGCAAAATGCTCGGATAGCAAGAGCATTTGAGGTATGCAGACGTGTCTGAAGATATTCAGCACATTTCTCTGCAACGCCGTCAAGCTGAAAATAAGAATTTGGACTTCAAAAACTGAAACTGTAAATGTCGTATATAGATACACTCACCTGGAGGAAATTGGCTCCAATCATTATTGACTGTACATTACCAGCAGAGATGCGCAGTTCACCACAGTAAGCAAATGAAACTAGCTGGTCCAATGTTTCATAATCGAGATCTGAAGATCGAAAAAAAATTTGAAATTTTTCAAGATTATCACCCTGAAAAAGAAACGGAATTTACCTTGCAAAACGACTTCGGTCTGATTCGCTTCCAACATTTCCGTTGTGAACATCACTCGAAAGTACGGTATCGAAGCTGCTAGTACCACCTAAAGCTTAGGCCTTTCAACAAAAAAGAACAACTTCTAGTAACTTGTTCACAATTCTAGGTAATCGAACTAGTATCAGAAAAAATCTAGAAATACATCACCTTGTGAAAAACAGTGATGTTTCGTACCTTATGTGCGCTAATCTTCCGTCCTTCCACAACCAATGTGATGTCGCATAGCTGCCCATTACAGCGGAGCTCATTCAGGGTTGCAAAAGCCTAAAAGAGAGATTCCTGAGCTTTCACAAGCTAGATGCTCCTCAGCTGTCACTAGCACGCAAGCCAAAGATGTTATTCACTCGCTGAATAGCAATGCTTCAGAATATATGCAGACCACCTTAGCATTCGGACGTCATTCGATAA